ACTTAATGAGCATGAAGTATGCAGTATCTGTGAGAAAAAACAACTGCTACTAAAAATATTAATATTTTAGAAATAAGCCCTCAGCATCCAAGATCATATTTGTACTAATCAGGCATTTGAAAGTTAGCCTGAAAGGTTCTGCTACAATGATCTTGTGAGGGTCACAAACCTAACATCTCAAAACACAGACTATTAGGAATACCTGGAAAACAAATCTCCTGTTCATATTGAATGCAGAGCACTGAGGTTCATTTTACACATTCACTTGAAAGCATTTCTTTTGAAATAATGTTGGGGGTTGCTTCACCTTATTGTTGTCTTGAAAAAAAGCACAGGTACACCTGTTACCAGTTTCACTAACACTCTGAGACATCACACAAAGACCTTTCTCCCTGAGTTCTTCACATCCCAGCTAAGTGCCTTGAACATCAGTTGTTTTAGGACAGCTGATTTCATTGGAAATTCTCTCCTTCTGTTTGAGAAGCTTTCATACTAAACTACCACCTTCTGACAAAAAAACATTTATGTTTCCCTCTGTAGAAAACATATTATAACCTCAAACAAAGACCCTCTGAAGCATTATTAAAATATTTGCGAAAACATCAAACTAAGGAAGGAAAACAACCACAAGCCTTCCATCAACATACCTGACATTTCTTTCCCATCACTGACTGCTGAGTCTGTCTTTGAGGGGACGCAGCAACTCCTTTAACTTCCAAATCCATGCAAATTCAATTATAGCCTTCAGAATAAACTGAAACCCAGAAAAAAAATAAGTATTTTGTATTTTTATATAAGTACTTCTGCAAATAAACATTATTGCATTACAAAGAATGTGTCTGTGACCAATAAATTGGGCATTGTCTTCAGCAATCTATGAAATGTTGCTGGGTTCCCTTTTTCACCGCTTCTTAATTTCAATCTTTCCTTACTATGAACCAGGTTCTTCTTCAAATTTATGTCTTTGCCTCAAGTTTCACTCCCTCCTTCCTTTACACTTCTCTTGATGCCTTCTCACAACAACATTACTGATTTGCCACCCCGTGACAACATCCATCCTTTTTTACTCTTCACTTACAGTTGCTGCCTCGCTCCTACCTGCACCATGGCCTGGGACTAAGTGTTTTCGGGATGACACAAGTGCCCAGCTGGCACACAGCCAGCCCCCCAGAGCTCTACAGTGACACGTTATCAGCACACTATCTCCTGCTCTGCTGATTTCTCCTTCCACCCAGCCAGTTTTGAACCAAACACAGATTTCCCAGAAATCTGACGCTCCCTTTCCAACTTACCACCCACCAAAGCTGACCCTGTTTCTACCTACTGAGCAGGATTTAACTCCCTGGTGTTCTTCCCTCTACCAAGCAGGAGAGAAGTGGGGCCTGTTCAGAGATGCCCACACAGCTGCTCACCAGCCACCCTTCCTGACATTCCCCCTTTCCCAGAGTACCTAAAATGCCTTCCCACAAGCTCAAGGCCCCTACTGAAATACAGCAGCCCCCCAATTGAAAATATATGGTAGAAAGTGTTGTTGCATTTAACCAGTAACACGCCCAACTGACTTTATTGCAAACAACAATTTAAAGGGCAAAATAAATACCTGAGCAGGGCTTACAGGAAAGCTGGAGGAGGACTTCTTGCAAGGGTATGTAGTGACAGTTACAAGGGGTAACTATTTTAAGCTGAAAAGAGGGTAGCTTTAGATTAGATGTTAGGAAGAAATGTTTTAGTGTGAGGGAGGTGAGACACTGGCACAGGTTGCCCAGGGAAGTTGTGGATTCCGCATCCCTGGAAGTGTTCAAGGGCAGGTGGGATGGGGCTCTGAGCAGCCTGGTCTAGTGGGAGGTGTCCCTGCCCATGCAAGGGGGGGTTGGACCTTGATGATCTTTAAGGTCCCTTCCAATCCAAACCACTCCATGATTCCATGAAACAAACACTGTGGGCTGAGGCAGCTTCACGGAAACGATGGATTTTCCCGTGAGCGCTCTGGGGCGGGGCAGGCCAAGCTCGTTCCCCGAGGTACCGCCTCAGCTGAGCGGGAAGCCGAACCGCCCGTTCCTCCTGAGGAAACACGCTCTGTGAGATTCCTGCGCTTGGGACACAGCAGCCCCATGCAATGCTACAGGCTCGGGGAGGAGTGGCTGGAGAGCTGCCTGGTGACAGAGCACTTGTGGGTATTGGTTGAGAGCCGGGCGAGCCAGCAGTGTGCCCAGGCGGCGGTACCGCCTCAGCTGAGCGGGAAGCCGAACCGCCCGTTCCTCCTGAGGAAACACGCTCTGTGAGATTCCTGCGCTTGGGACACAGCAGCCCCATGCAATGCTACAGGCTCGGGGAGGAGTGGCTGGAGAGCTGCCTGGTGACAGAGCACTTGTGGGTATTGGTTGAGAGCCGGGCGAGCCAGCAGTGTGCCCAGGCGGCCGGCAGGGCCAGCAGCATCCTGGCCTGTGTCAGAATGAGGGGGCCAGCAGGAACGGCAAAGTGGCCGTTCCCTTGTGCTCGGTACTGGTGAGGCCGCAACCCGAGGACTGTGCTTAGTTCTAGGCCCTTCAGAAGGACATCGAGGCACTGGAGCAAGTGCAGAGAACAGCAATGAAGCTGGTGGAGAGTCTAAAGCACAGGTCTTATGAGGACCAGCCAAGTGAGCTGGGCTTGTTTAGTCTGGAGAAAAAGAGGCTCAGGGGAGACCTTACTTGCTTTCTACATGAAAGGTTGCAGTGAGGTGGGTGTCGGTCTCTTCTCCCAAGTAACAAGTGATAGGACAAGAGGAAATGGCCTCAAATTGTGCCAGGGGAGGTTTAGATTGGAAATTAGGATATATTTCTTCACCAAAATGGTTGTCAGGCACTGGGACAGGCTGCCCAGTAGTTAAGTCGTTATCCCCTGGAGGTGTTTAGAAGACCTGTAGATGTTGTGTGGTGGTTAAGTGGTGGACTTGGCAGTGCTAGATTAATGGCTGGATTTGATCTTAAACGTCTTTTCCAACCAAAGCAATTTTATTATTGATTCTACTCCAGGTACAGCTGCACACCTGAACATCCCTCCCTGTGCTCACCTGCAAGCCTGTCACCAGAGGGGTCAGGGCTGCTCCACAGGCTGGCTGGACAGGGCAGCTGCCACCTGGCCCCTACAGACAACTGACAGCAAAGCTGGGCACAGCCATTACCTGTGCTGGGCACTGGGGCTTTGCACAGGTTTGTGTCATCAACTAATCCATGCAGCTGACATCAGAGACTTAGAAATAGCAGCAAAGAGGCTCACGGTGAATGTTTGTAGCCCCGGGTAAGCAATACAGCAATTACCCTAAAGTAGCTCAAAGCCATGTGGAAAAAGGCTTCAAGCAGCAGGAGCACCCAGAGTAGTCAACAGGAAAGCTACAGCACTGATCATTCAAACGCTGCCTAAGGCAGCAAAATCCTGTGGGTAAGAAGGTCACTGGCAACAGCAGCCGTGCCTGGAAGGTAGCAGTAATGGAGCTGCATCCACACCAGCCCTCAGCAGGGCTTGCAACAGAGCCACAGACAGCAATTGCCATGGCAGCACAGTGTATTTGGTTGGTATTCCTGCATCCTCTCTGATCAAAGGCTTTGAAATTAGTTTCAGATCACTTTAATTGACCTTATTAGTCATCTCAGAGTATAGCCTCTATGCTATTACATTTTTTTTAAGCATTTCCAGAGTTCCAGTTGTCCCAAATTACCACACCTATGTAAGTTATTTTTACTAATCAGATCATGTCCAAGTACCAGTTCAGATTAATCCATTCTGGCTTGAGGAAAAATCTGTCACTTCTTGAGAAACCCTGGAATTTTGGCCAATTGATTTTCCAAAGTTAGGCAAAATCTCACCTATTGCAAAACTACTAGTACACTGACACTAAGGATGTATTTCTGGATGCTGCTGCTTCCAAGCCTGTGTGATGCATTTTTAGAACCAAAGACATACCGTATTTCTGTACAAAAATGAAGAATTCATTCTGTTTCAGGGACACTGAAATAGTTTTGGTCCCTTTTACTATACTGCATTTAATCCATAAAAATAAATCCATGTGTTAAGAGTAACACATTATTGCAGAATAAAGATGGCAGGAGTTCAGGTATTATAGCTGGCCCGTTTAAAAGCTAGGTGATTATAAAACAGGAAAATAAACAGCTGTGTACTGTCAAAACTACCTCTAATGTAATTCCTGTCATTAAAGGGTGGAAGTTCCTTAGGCATATGTATTCAGTGAACCAAAATTAGTAGAAAATAAATGTATGGACAAAAATTATTCTGGCACAGCAAAAAAAAAAGTTTTTCTTAACACTTACTTTAAAAAGCTACTATTAAGCTGACATAATGTTTTGAAAAAAGAACAGCCCCCCAGCTCTTGAATGATACACAGCAATACATCTATTAATACTGATGTAAGAATAAGTGTATTACAAGTAATCTAGAGGCAAGATCCCATTGTATTAAAATAAATATGAATCAGGAATACAGTACTAAAGGATATCACAGCTGCTGAGTTTAACACAGGACAGGTGGGGAAGAAGTGAAGTGATCCAGTGTAATGCATTAAGGTTTAAATTGACATACAAACTATACATTCTTCCTCTGTGGGTAAACTTATGTCTTCTCCAAATAAAGAAATTGGACTATGAATGCATCTCTAAGACTTAACCCATACTGCTTCTCATTCCCCCTCTAGAGAAGTTTTCCACAAAGAGCTAAATCGATCACTGCATGCTCTTTTAATGAACTCAACAAAGTCACACTTCAGATGGCACTATGCTTACTAGTTACAAAACACGTATGAAACACCTTAATAGTCTTAATTAAAAGATATTCTAATATTTTAGTGAAACATCAGATATAATTACAGTGCATTATATATAGAGTACAGAAATATTTTATAGGGAAAAATAAATAGAAAAAAATATGTAAACATCCCAAGTGAAATTCTGCTGCCACAAAAGTCAGTTACAGAACCATCATAGATAGAAGCAAGGGCAGTATTTCACCCCTCTTTTTAAAGCATATAGCAGTGCACATAACTTCATTCAAAACAGTTTAAAGTGCATACAACATTATAAAAAAAATCATAAAGTTTTGAAAGCTTTACATATGCAGATTTCATTCGTATCTACTACGTCTCCTCAATCCTGTTTCTTCTGATTCATTGGCATCTTTGGTTATAATTTCTTGGTCTTCTACCACATCTGGCTCAAACTGATGTATTTCACATTCACCACATAACTCGTCCTCCTCTATTTTGTAATCATTATCAACATCCTGAAGCAAAACTTCGTTACTGTCATCTTCTCTGTCGTCCATTTCTTTCTCTTGAGAATGTTCAGCAAATGACTGAATGAGATCTTCAAGTTTCTCATTACAAATGTGGCTGACATCTGTCGCCAAAAAAACCAACCAAAAAAAAAGTTAAATTACTAGAGAGGCTCCAAATTGCAGGGTCACTTTAGAAGAAAAGTATTTATTTTTTATTTGTTTTCTCTCTTTCTCAACTAATGCAAATTTCTAGTGAACCATTCAAGATTTCTCTTGGACTACTATGCACTCCTTGGAAGAATCCAGCTGAAACGAATATGCAATTTGCTGTTTAGTGTATCATGCAAGCATTACCCACAGCCTGAGGTCTGCATCTGGGAATCCTCAGACTAAAGTTAGTCCAAGACTAACAGACTGCTCAGAAACTTATATTCAGAAAGCTTGTCTTAACAAAGGAGAATGTGACTGTGTGGTCCATCTTAGGTCAATGTCTTTTAGCACCTGTTCTTAAAAAAAAAAAAAAGATGTATCAAAAATATAAAGTTAGATACACCTCAAACAGGAAGAATGGTATTCCTCCAGAATAAAATGAATTCCACACATATTACCTAAGACTCAGGAGCTAAACATTTCATACTAAGATCTGTTTATTCTTGTAAAATATAAACTACTGAATTACCAGTCTTGCTGCAAATCAAAGTACCTTTCATTTTGTTTTCCGATTTATCTAATCCACTTTCTTTCATCAGGCGTCTAATTGATTGGAGCTGTGTCATTATTTCATCTTTCTGCTCACAAGCTAAAGCATTAACACTAGAAAAAAAGACAGATGTCAGCAGCTGAAAGATTACCTGGGAAGTGAGTGCTTGATAATAACGTACAAGATTGCAATATTTTGCCTTCTAATTATATGAAAAGGAAAAAAATACTTTCAGCTACCAGATATGTAATTCCAATTAGGACTTTCAAATGCTACTTAGCTTAAGCATTTTTTCAGTATTAGCCTCCTCAGTCAATATTAAGGTCTAACTTGTTAAGCAACAGAAATGTGATCCTAAGTGAGCTTTTGCAGCTATGTTTGGTAAACAGGAGACAGGAGATGTCTGTAGAAATGATCACAAATTGCAGAAGAGGTGTTACCTGCAAAAGGGCTGCAGAAACAGTAATTAAAGAAGGTTCCTAAACACTGTTCTCTACCTACATATAAGGAACATTTTTAAAACTCTTCATTAACATATTCGAGAAATTCAGTTTATGCAAAACACTTAACTGAGATGGGTTAGAAACACTCACCAGTTTGACAGCGGATCCAACTGAGTCAATAAAGAATTTAACATTTTCTCTGTTTGTGCTAGATGCTGCTCCAGTTCTAAAAGCTGATGCTCTACAAAAGTTTAAAAAAAAAAAAAGAAAAAGATGGAAGAAGGGAAAGGAGAGGGCAGGAAAGAGAGAAGACTCTGTAAGAAGTGTACTTACAATACCAAAAGGTTATTACTTTATAATTTTAGTTGGGCAGATTAAAAAACAGGAAGGTTTTTTTCTACATAAAATACTGGAATATGAAAACAGAGTGGTAGGGGTAAGAATGGAAGCCTTACTATGTGTGACTTAAAGTCCTTGTTATACAATGACTTGTCTCCAAGAGTGCCCAAACAGAGGGATGTCCTGGTAGAAACTGAGCAAGAACATGGCCCTTGCCTTCCCAGCCTTAAACACTATGCAGTTCCAAGACTTTCTGAGATAAAAGCAGTGTGTTTATACTTAATATACTGTCACAAATTTTCCCACTCACACCTCACAAATACATTCAACATAATGAACTAGAGTTGAGAGGAGTAACTCCTCCTAAAATGATATTAAACTTTGAAGAAAGAGGAAGACAACACACAAGGATGGTGAGGAGGTGGTGCAGCAAATCATTGCAGAACCTGATTACAGATCTGGCGTACAGAGACACCGAAAGAGGCTGACAGTTATTTAATTAACTAAGAATGTGTCTATACAAGGGGCAAAAAAAATAGGAAACAGCTTAACTTTAATGTGACATAGCTTTTTCTCCAAAGAAAAGCCCACTTCTTGGCACATGCAGAATAGACTGAATTAGTCAGTCAGGAGTACTCTGTACCATTAAGATAATGTTTTTGACAGGTCTCTAATTTGGCCCAGAAATTCAGCAGTCTCTATAATTGTTTAACCATACTGTTTCACTATCAATACAGCTCAATTCTAAAGCTGTTGATCATATCCTTTTTAAATACCTTATTAATTCTAAAGAGTATTACAACCTACTTAAACATTCTATGGTACTACTCTAATGATGAAAGCTGAACAGGTCTTCAGTGAGAAAACCATCAGACATTAAAAGGCAGAGAACCATACTATATTACGGTAGCCGTTTCAAATAATATTACCATGTGGAGTTTTCAACAAACCTCTAACAAGTGTTTCAAATGTACAGAAAAGTGGGGTTTTTGTAGGTTCCTAACTGCACATAAGTAACTTAAAAGATTGTTCTCATTTCACTAGACTGCATCAACAAAAATCTGTAGCTTGCTCCTGCATTAAATACACATTTCTGGTAAACATAAGCATTTTGAATGGGTATCTTACCCGTTTCCTTTGCCTTGTCTTCTGTACTTTTTTCCTTTTTAGAGAGACTTTCTTCATGTGACTTCACCTATAATAAATACAATCGTGTTCAAAGACTACATCACTATTTGTATATTAAGTCAAAACGCATTTAGAAATTTACTGAAGTTAAATAGCAACCACAAAAATGTGCTCCATTAATTGAACTTTTTTCTGCCATTCCTTCTTCTTATCTTAAACCGACGCTTCCAATTTTAAGTTCCAATGTAACTGACAGAAGTTGTAATAGAAAGCAGTTGCTACTTCAACTCTAATTTTCAATAAATAACAGAAGAAACCTTCCATGTCATCAGACCCAGTCTCCTACCATTAACTAGAAGGTAAAACTTATTTCTAATCTAAAAGTAATAAAGATGCTACTAGAAAAATATTTACGTTTCAGCCCCGCAAGTGTAAAGATTTGTAACACCCAAAGTATTGTTTTTATGATGTTTATATTGTATTTATAACCTAATTAGATTTCTTTTTAAAACCAAACTGCTCAGCCGCTGTGTTCATCAAGCTAAGCTGTTGTATTTTTCTCACATCAGAGATGATATGAAACTGACTACAGAAATGGAGATATTGTTTCTGGTCCTGTTCAGTTTGGGGTTTTTTAACCCTGAAGGCAGGCTACAACGTTCCACATGTACTCTCAGAATCTCAAGTGCTGTAACATCTCTTACTATAAATTACACATATCAAGACTGAGATTTAAAAAAAATAAATCAAACAAATCCGACTTACTATGTGTTCTCCTCTCTGGTGGAGAAAATGGTAGAAAAGCTATCACATTTCATGGATAAAAGCCTATGTTGCAGCTGCATGACCAAATGAGAAGTCCAAATAAAAGGTCTAGGCTATTCACTATTCTATCTGTTAATCTAAGACTATTACTCTGCAGGAGATGCTCATTTCTTCCCCATTCCATTGTGAAGAATGAAAAGGAAGTGAAATACTGATGAGGCTTATATTACAGCCTCAGGTATCAGCACTGTTTAGATTCTCAAATTCTTACTTGAGGTCGAGGTAAGGGCTGAGTGTAAGATTCTCCCTTCTTTAAGCATCTAAAAAGAGACAAGCCAGAAGCCTTCATAAGGAAGAGTCCGATATGCTATAATTTTAACTTTGAAGCTCACATTCGAAGTCAAATCAAGCAAGAAATAACTTCTGGACAACCATATACGTGGGCTCAGAACTGGGAAAAAATAAAGCCTAACCAGTGATATTTCCCTCTAATTTTAATAATTTAGTGCTTTTCTTCTTACCTTAAGAAATTTGTATGCTGCAAACACACCCACTCCAAGAGCATACAAGGGCATGAGGGTGAATGCTAACTCTCTACCATTTCCTCTTGTTCTCTCACTCTTAATCTCTTTTTCCATTGCATTTTTCATCTGCTGAAAAGTCTGGTAAGTATTGCCATCAGAATTTCCTGGATTCAGGTGAACTTGATGAACTGTCTGAGGACTACCTTAAAAAATTGAGAGAAATAATACAAAGTTAAAAAGGAAATCAAGATTCCAATTAGTTTCACAACTAGAATTAAATGGTTTTCTTCTTGTATGATCTCTTTGTTCATCATTCTTCTAAGATGGTGCGGTCAGCTCTGCATCCAAATAGTCATAAAAAAAATTAAAACTCTTTCATGAACAGAATGAAAGTTAAATGTAGGTAGCAGACTCTCAAACTAAAAGGATACAACTCTCAAACTAAAAGGATACAACTTTCACGGAAACCCTGTCAAATCCACAGCCAGCCACAGAAAGGCAGGCGTAACAAGAAACAACTGAAATCTTGAAATTAAAGCACACTCAAGAGAAACTATTGATAATGTGAGAAAAGTTACAAATTAGTATTATTTCCTTTGTAACAAAGAAAGAAGTAGAAAATGAACTGTCTAGTCCCAGGGGAAAAAAAAAAAAAAAGTATGCTTGAAATACACATGCTGTGAATAAAAGTTGCCACTTTCATTATTGTGACAGTAAATTCAGTATTCTGTGGATATTCTCACAGGCTTAGAAGTGCTGTACCACTGCAGATCAAGTATTTAGCAGGAAAAGATTACACAATAGCAGAAAGAGACATCTCTGGAAGTCTGAAGTACTTTTGCATATAATTTGCCTGCCAGAACAGGGAGCAGATTAAAGAATAGCCAGTGTCATTGCTTGACTTACAAATTAGGTTATTTGGTAGTTAAATCTGGGGTTCGTGGGATGTGCACAGAAACAGTGCTACCAGCTAAAGAATGCCAATGCCTGCAGAGACAGACAACAGGTGATGGGGTGGGGGGTGTGAAGCTTTACACTCTTGTCTCAACCGACCACCTAGATTTAAACTTTCAAACACCTTGAACATTTAGTTTGCCATCATTTATTGTATCAGAAATTAGTATAGGGAAAACAAGGTTCACATTCTATAAAAACTGCCAAACAAAACACTATTTTGCAAATAACTCATCAGTTAGTACTTAAACAGTGGCATTTCCATAATTTACAGTAACATAACTTAAGTAAGAGTCAAAATCAGGTTTCACTCCCAGTGAAACAACTGTGTGGCTACAGCTTCTTTCAAGTACCTGAGAAAAAGGAATCTAATTCTGCTAACCTGAGAGGGTACTTTGCAATAAGAAATCTCAGTGTTTCAGAATTTAAAATGAGCAAGCCAGAAAAGTTTTTCAGACTTCCAGGGATAACTATGACTGTAGTCATGTTTACTATCAGCTCTGTAATCATGTCTTGCCAGACATTACCGAGAGTTCTGTATGTAACTGGTTTGCAACACCTGCATTTGGAATACACCTTTAATCTGTGTTTGCTCACAGAAACTGAAACAAAACTGGACAGTTACACACAGAATTAAACATCCTAGCTAAAACAGGCAGAACTCAAGCTACTTTAACTATTTAATAAGGTTCAGGCAGACAGACTCCTTTCAGCACAAGCAGGTTTAGACTTAGTAAGACATCACTAACTAATCCGGAAATTGTTCTTACCTCACATATAGTTTTCCTCGTTTCAGAATGTTTCCCACAGATTACTAGTTTTAAGTTTGCACTCACTAGTTTTTCCTTACTTTTAGTTCTATTTGAGCTTATTGTAAGCAAGAAGGTTTACTAAAACATCTAATGGTACAGGTGAAAATATTTCCATGGGTCATCCAAATAAAGACTGTTGTCAGGTGTCATAACTCTGTCCTGGCACAGAGGAATCCTAACAGAGTCCTGTGTCCTGCACCAAGTTTATCACAGGGAAGGACCAATAAAGTGAGTGACACCTGGCCAAACCGAGGAAAAAAAGAACCCAGTCAGGTGATAACAGCAGATCTGCCTGAAATTTATTTTACAGTGCTGGCACAATAAATCAGTAGAATCGGAGGCATGTGAAATGTTGCTTTTTTAAGGTATGGTTTCAAACACTTTTTCGGCCTTAGAAATGTACTCCAGGGGAAGAGCACAGACATAATTTGGAAGAATACAGCAACAATCTATACAGAACAACTTCAAGAAAGCAGGCTTTTGGCTGTTTTATGAAACAGACGTGGACCTTTGGACCCTGAGCTAAATCCTCAGCTGATGTACACTGGTGTAGCTTCACATCCATTTACACCACTCAAACTTTAACAAGCAGTAAGCTCTCCAGCACATTCAGTGTTCTAAACAAGCATCTTGGACTTTTCCCAAAACACTACCTGACAAATCTCATACAATTCTTCACTAATGTTTACTGACAGTAACACTTGGCTTCCCCCTTGCAATTCTAACATTCCCAGTACGTTTCTTCCTCTCTCTGACACCTCACAGCCACTCATTCATCTGCGAGAGTAACTCACTTAATGGTTGGACTTAAAGGCCTTTTCCAAACAAAACGTTTCTATGATTCTAACTTTGCCCCTGCAGCCTGTACCCGGCTGAGATACGCCTTCAGAAACAGGGCGCTCCCTGCATTGAAACCCGATCTTAATCCAACACACACAAAAATCGAAGCAGTCACGAACCAGAAAAGCGGAGCACGAAAGACGAGAAGGAGCAATTAAGAGGGAGCTCAGAGCACAGGGCCCGCCCGGAGCCGCCTGCCCAGGCCTCCCCGGCACAGGCCACGGAAACACCCGCGCCGGACGCCGGACACGCCGAGCAGGCACAGCCCGGTTCCTGGGGCTGCCCGGCCGGGCAGGGCCCGGCCCCCAGCAGCGCGGCCCCGGGCA